CACCACCCCACCGCCCAGCACTGCCTACTGAGATCAGTGAGCAAATCACGGGAGATCTTTGGTTGTTTAAGAAGCTGTGGCTTAGAAAAATAATGGAGTTGACATTCTGAATAAATACATTATGCAGCTGAAACCACTTGATCTTTGCATCAGAGGAGAAAACCCTTACGGAAAGAAATGGACAGGATTATTTTTAAAATAAAAAGTTAGTTGGCAGATTACCATAGTAAGGAGATGAAAAGTCAGGGAAATCAGACGGTAGCGAAATCCACATTGCCAGGAGTTGAATGAAGACAGACATCATTAACATTACAAGCTACATAATGAGGTGTCAGCAAGACGTCAGCTGTTGGGAAAAGTTGCAAGATGATGCTTTTTTTACTTGCAGCCAAAGCTCTGGTTGAAAATAAATGCCATATCTTGCAGCTGACAGTAGAGTTCTTTAATGATCCCCATCAGAGAACTAAGACTGTTCAAGGGCCTGACTCAGAAAGCTTACAAGACACAAGAGGAAGAACAGAAGCTGTTGGCTGCAGAAGAGGGTGTTCATGGAGAATTTAAGAAATGGAGGGTGAATTATAGTGAAAACAGATTATGTAAAACTCTGCTGGAAAAACAAACAAAAAACCCCAGGACACCAGGCTTTTTTTCTTTTTGATGCCTCAAGATTTCTTCCTGTAGAAAAGAGAGATGCTGCCTTCCTGAGACAGAAATTGCATAAGACAGAAATTGCAGGTAGCAAGCTCAAAGATTGTTGTACTTCAGAGACTTCAGAAATAAACCCAAATCCAGCAAGATCTACTAAATAACTCCCATCAATAAGAGGTTCTGGAAACCAGATGGGCTCCCATGAGATATTCTGATGAGTACAGGGGCACTGTACTCCCCACAGTACCATTCACCTTTCTTTACTATGGAAGATGAATGCCTAGAAGTGAATTAGTTGTGAGTGGGCTTGTACCTGGGTACAGGGATATATGTGGTGTCAGGAAAAATCTTACCCTCTAATCTGCATACAAACATGAAGAATGTCTAGTGGGTCCCACACCCTCTGATGACACACTACCCAACCCTCCTTGATGGTGGACACAAGAGGGATATCTCCATTTCATCATTAATCAAATAGATTTGCCTAGGGCTGTTCATGGACCACCACCTGGGCCAAGGGACTTTTTCAGTATCTGATGAAAATATCTACCTCTAGCCCTAGCTGGTTTGGCTCAGTGGATAGAGCATCGGCCAGTGGCAGGGGTCCTCAAACTACGTCCCGCTGGAGGTTTTTGCCACCGCTGTGAGCATAGGAATTTGTTCATAGTTTTTTTTTTGGCCCACCGGGTGTTTTTCCTGCCGCTGTGTGCATAGGAATTTGTTCATAGTTGTTGTTTTTTTAAACTATAGTCCGGCCCTCCAACGATCTGAGGGAGAGTGAACTGGCCCCCTGTTTAAAAAGTTTGAGGACCCCTGGACTAAAGGGTCCCAGATTCAATCCCGGTGGCTTCATTAATGAAGAATGGCCGCTTTCTACAGCAAGGGCTGGTTTGGCTAATGCTGATGAAAGTAACTGCCTATCTTTATCAGGAGCACCTGTCATTAACTCAGCAGAGAAAAGACTCCCACTCTTTCTCACACTTTCTTCCTGTGGGCTTACATTCTGTCTAAAGGAGCCTTTAGAAACTTAAAGCCTTTCTCCATAAGAGACTACCTCCTTTCTGGACCCTAATTAGTTGAGATTATCTTTCTCTCTCTCTACAAAATACTTCCAGCCTATGGGGTCTAGAGAGAAGGCCATTAGTTTCTCCAGGTGCCAACCCTGGGCCCCACAGGCTTCCAGCCTTAGGTTATAAAGAAACTATTGGGAGAATTTATGTGCTTCAAAACCCAATGTGAATGTTACTTTGGTAATTAACACGTTTTTAGAGCTTAGTTTTATTATTAAGAGATCTTTTATGAGCCAAATTATTCAAATCTGCTAGGTATTTTACTTGCTATGAAGACTACCACTTAAACTCTAGTTCTCTCATTTTTTCCACTCTCCTCAAACCCATTTTATGCATTATAATGTAGTTTATATAGTTAATGTAGCATATGCAACAGAAATGTTGAGTGTCATGTTGAGTGTAATACTTTTACATAAAATTTTTTAAAGTATAAATGTAATTATCAAGAATGTTTGTTAATCTATGCTTTTTTGCTCCGCCACACTTTGGATAAACCTAGTCAGTTAATCAAAGGTCAAAACAATCAACTTTGTGTTGGCGAATTGTTTCATAAGCGGAAATAAGTAACCCAAACCTATGATGTAATTCCAAACAGTATACTCTTCAATTCACTAAATCATTCAGAAAATCACTAACATAACTATTCTATCAATATTTGCTTTCAGTCATGAAAGTGGAGATTGTCAGATTCTTTTATTCCAGTGGATCCATTTAACTATATAAAACTAGAAATCAACATAGATCCTAAAATCTGCCTTAGATGATGTGGAGGTGTGGCTTTGAACCTGCTGACTTCACCTCCCTCTTATCTCATAAGGTGGCATCTCCAAGTATTCCAGGGCTCCACCAGCTCAGATTGGAAACTTCTAGGTCACAGCATTATGGCAGCAAGGTCAAGGTCACATTTCAATGGCCATGGGGGCCATGACCAACCTCTCCCATTTACAAATGCAAAACACTATGTGTTATAAGATGGATGTATAGCATATGCTCAATAAACAAGAAGCACAATCTTTACCCAACATTCCTCTGAGTATGTACCTGCCTTCCAAAAAGAAGAGCAAGTGTGAGAAATCTCTCCAAATCACAACTGTACACCCTACTGTCCAGTCGACAGAATCATCTTTGTCCATTAAGAACACTTCATTAGCCCTAGCTGGTTTGGCTCAGTGGCTAGAGCATCGGCCTGCGGACTAAAGGGTCCCAGGTTTGATTCCAGTCAAGGGCAAATGCCCAGCTCGATCC